ACCACACAAACATTTTGCTTCAATCATATCCGGTACAAGGAAATTCAGCTTAGTAGGACTGGTAATTGTAGCTGATCCATGAGAAAATGTTCAGAGTTTACCATCCCACTGTTTTTCTGAGAACAGGGGGTACCTGGAGGTCATAATTATCACACATTGGGAGGTAGAGGAAGAAAAACTGAATGACATTACACATTATAGAGTTTATTCCTCTTGTTGTGTATCAAATGAAAGCTATTCCTGGTTGTAACAGTGTTAGAACCAGCAATGCATTTGGAGGCTACCATTCATTTGTTTATTCTTAAGTATTTTTTTAGTTGTAGATGAACATAATACATTTATTTATTTATTTATTTTTATGTAGTACTGAGGATCAAACCCAGTGCCTCACACATGCCAGGCAAGCGCTCTATCACTGAGCTACAACCCTAGCCCCCATTTCTGTTTATTCTTCAAACCATCTTATAAGGCTAGTTTCCAGAGTTCTGAGAACAGGTACTCCAAAATATGAAATGGTAAGTGCTTTAGATCTTCACCATTTCAGACCCAGCCATACATTGCTCAGGAACCTCTAGTGATGTCCCAAGGGAACCTATTCTCACTAGACTCCACAACTCTGCAAACACCCAGGTTGGCTTTATAACAGAGGAAGAAACCTACAGTAACCTCAAATAGTGTTAAAACTATTTAAAACCCCAAATGTTACTTCATTTCTACTCAAAGTTGAAAAATATAATGATTATTGGTTTGTAAAACCCCACGATGACAGTTAAATTAATATTGGGGGAGACATGGCATTTCCCAGTTGTCATGACAACCCTGATGCTTCTCTCAGTGTGCACGCTTTTTTAGGTGTTGCATCTAATTTAGGATTTGACTCGGAAACTGACAAAACAACTCAGAGATCTAGAAAGATATACCTGTTCTATCAATTAAGATGACATGCTAATGTGTAGAGGATTCTCAGTCACAGGGAAGGGTTCACCTAGGCAGTGGTTTCTATAGAGATGCAACTCCCAAACCAGCATTGCCAAAAATAAGGCTTTACTCATCCAGAAAGACCAAAGGAGGGGAATTCTGTGATGCAGGTGTGAATAGGGCTTCAGTGATTAGAAGTGTGTCGAGTTTCCATTAGTGCCCAGCTGAACTGAAAATAATTAAGTTCATTTTTTTAACTGAAAGGTAGGATTGGAATTAGTAATTAAGAAGCAAAATTTTGAGAAGGGCTTACAAAGGAATTGTTATGGTTTGGATATGTGGTTCCCCCCAAAAAAGATCATGCATGAGACAATGGCAGAAAGTTTATAGGTGAAATGAATAGATTGAGAGTTGTAACCTGATCGATGGATTAATCCACTGATATGGATTAACTGGGTGGTAACTGTAAGCAGATAGAGTGTGGCTGGAGAAGGTAGGTCACTGGGGGCAAGACTTTAAGGATTATATTTTATCCCTAGTGAGCAGAGCACTGGTGCTCCACCCCTCTTTCCTGGTGGCCATATCCTGAGCTGCTTTCCTCTGCCAAGCCCCGCCCCCCGTAATATTCTGCCTCAGGCCCAGAGCTACAGAGTCAGACAACCAGGAGCTAAACCTCTGAAACTGTGAACCAAAATGAACTTTTCCCTAATTGTTCAGGTGTTTTGGTGACAGCAACAGAAAGCTGGCCAAAACAATTTCTGGATGGAAGCTTATTTTTCAGATGAGGAAACTGAATGACCTGGGAAGGAGACAACTAGCTCAAGTCACTGCATTCTACCAAGGTCAGAGGGGAATGCATTGTCCTCCCCCAACCCAGTAGACTCTCAAGTCCTCAACCTCCAAGTTTTGTCTTTTATTTTAAGATTTTTAATTCATTTATTTATTTTAATTAGATATTTATGATAGCAGAATGCATTTTGATTTGTTGTATACAATTGCAGCATGACTTTTCATTTCTCTGGTTGTACATGATGTAGTGTTGCGCCATATGTGCAGTCATACATACATACATGTACCTAGGGTAATGATGTCCATCCCATTCCACCATCTTTTCCACCCCCATGCCCCTTCCCCACCCTCCCTCCCCTTGGCCCAGTCAAAGTTCCTCCATTTTTCCTATGGATGATCAGCATCCACTTATCAGAGAGAACATTCAGCCTTTGGGGATTGGCTTACTTCACTTAGCATTTGCAACTGATACAAAGAAGCAGTTTCCATGAAAAAGATTTTACTTTTATTCTTTCTGTGCCTAACCTTCATTTGGTTAGCCAGATACCTTACACTTATTAATTAGGGATAAAAATAATACTAGCTGCCTATAATCTCCTCTCACTTAGAAGATTCACTACTTTACCTTTGGGTTTTTAAATAAAAATTATTCTGATAGAATTTCAGATAACAAATAGAAAGATTTCTCAGTGTCTCAGAAATTATCTTGGTTTGTATGTTATTTTATTATTATTTCAAAAACAAACATGAATATTTCAAGACAATAATAATTCTGTCTAAAAGAGAAGCTCATTTCCTTAACAGGGAACATAATGTTACAGTTAGAAATTCAAAACTGAAAATCTCCAAACTGAACTTACACCTTTACTAGATATAACTTGGGGCAAGGTTTGATTGAGGCTTTATTTTTGTTGTGGCTAGGATTTAAGATCACACATCAAACAGAAAAGGAAAGGTTATAAATGTGGTAAAAACTGGGGAAAAGAAGGAAAATAAAGAAAAAGATACACAAAAAGTACTGGGTACTTGTTACAAGAACAGTCACAATTTATGTAAGCTCTTGACATACTGCAGAGAATATATGAAATTTGGGAAGACTAGTCAGCATTGAAACCTTCATCATTTGGGGGAGAATCCTCCAACTGTTTCAGTGTTGGTAAGAGAGAGGTTCTCTTTCTCGATGGCCTAAAAGTCTTAAAAGGCCAAGCTCTCACTTCCCAATCCCCTTGAAGCTTAAACACAGTCACATATCTTAGACACAGCAAGTAGGTGCTCATACCCAAGGTTTGGTACCCGAGGCAGTAGTGTGCTGATAAACTGGCTTTCTGGGAAAACAAAAACCAGTCCTGATTTGTAGGTTTGCCAATTTTCATGATGAAAGTAACTCCTACTGTAGATGATTTCAAACTAAAAACTTCTCAGCTTGCAAAACTCATGCACATTTAATAGTTGTCTCTCGTAAGCAGGTTCAATTCAGCTTCAGGACTTCATGCAGAGGGGAAGGATGCTGAGGCAGGGCAGCTAAGTAAGAGTTCCATGGCATTATGACAGGACCAGGCCACAGCAGTAACTAAGACCAGCGGTAGAGGAGCCATTGGGGTCACCCAAGTAACTATTCCTCCTGTTGGCCTTGTTCTCTCTTCTTTCCCTTGGCTTCCCTTAGCACCTGCTCATTTTCCTATCCTGGTTCTTTCACCTTCCTCAATTCTGTAAGCATCTCAGTCACCCCCCCAAAAAACCTTTTTCTGATCATGTAAGTCAGAATTGGTTTCAATGCCTACAACAAAGAGCCATTAAATGCTTTTAATTAGGCCTGATGACAGTCCAGTGAAGAAGGCCCTGCCATTATTATCCCCAGGTTGCAGAGGAGGAAGTGGAGCTCAGAGAAGTTGGAGAACTTGCTTACAGTCACACATAGCTGGCAAGTAACAACTCAAATGCTATTTGCCCTGTGCTAAGTTTCCTCTCACAAACCAAGACCATCTCTCTTCTCTTGTCCTGTCCTGATGGCGTGCTCTTGATCTCTGTCCCTGTTAAGCCTATATTATACTAGGAACATGATTTGGGTTATAAAAATTTTAATGAAAATACATAACTTCTTGAAACATTAGCCTCAAATAATCATTAACTCTAGAACAAACAATAAAATTTGAGATATTCATTTATAAAGAGAAGGTGATTTCTTTTCATAGTCTTATCTCTGCAGGAATTTTCCTCCTTGGTTAAATTCCAGTCCAGAAGCTTCAGGCTTTAACTCCAAAGGAGAACTCTCCAGTGTGGAGGGGCAGCTGCACCAGTGGAACTAAACTAGCACATTCTCCTGAAATTCACCACCTGCTTCAGGTTCTCCTACTTGAATAATTCCCAAAAAACCATACTGCTTCCAAGTGCATTCTGCTCTAGCTTTAATATTCCACACAATGTAGACAGAAATTTTCATCTGCACGCTTTAGCACAGCACTGTTAACAAATGTGAGTGGGGAAAGAAAATGTGAGTAAAGAGTTTGAGAAAGGGAAATAGTTCTACATGCAAAGAAATGAGTTCTGATTTTACTACAGCTACCTGGTTCTTTATATTGGTCAAAGCTCTTAATTGAAGACAATGTCATTCATTCTAGTTAGTTGAAAAAGAAATTTAAGGAATATTAGAAACTCACCGAAATACTGGAAGGCCCTGGGGGAAAGCATTTGGACTTAGCTACCAGGGAAAGTGCCCAGAACTAGTCCACAGGACTGGCCAGGTAAAGAAGTAGGTGCTGCCATCAGCTCTGGAACTACTAATTCTTTTCTGTGATCTGGAGCTGTCCTCTATTACTGTCAGTCTCACAAATGCCCCCATCTTGGCCACTCCCAACCAGCAACCCAGATGCCCCAGTGATCCCTTTGGTAGCTTGCTTCCACATCACAATTTCATGAATTGTTTGGAAAAATCTAAGGCACATATCTGCATCCTGTGGCATTAAAAATATATGAGAATGTCCACTCACTCTCACAAATGGCACGATTTGTCCACATACAAGAAGAGAGAAGCTTCTAGTACTTGCTGGCATAATTTTATAGATACGTTGCTTGGGTTCCTCACTTTCATGTGAGGAACTATTTTTAAAGCACCTCAACTTTTGTTTTTAGTCAATTCTTAAAGGAAAAAAAAGTAAAAGACAGATGGCCATGGATCATCCTCTGCCTTTAACCATTTTATTTCACTTCTCACTTTCGAATACTAACCAGCATCTTCCCCCAGGATATTAATACTATAAATGGCCCCACCCCTCTTCTGAGATCTGTTGCCCTACCTGTGGTGGTGTGGTAAATGGGGAGGGATCTATGTTTCTCCTTCAGGTCCAGAGAATAACAATATCCATGCCAGAAATAGCTGCCTGCTCACAAAAATCCACCATCTTCTTTTCTTCCTGGACCCATAGGGAAACCACAGCTCCTAGGATCCTTTGCAGTTAGTCTGAGCCATCATTCATTTGGGAGTCTATTCTTGAACTTAATCTACTTTAAGAATACATTAAGAACACAGAGAATTTTAATCCTCACCTTGTAAGAATTATACACATGTAGACAATAATTCTTTCTTTATTACATCAAATGTAAATACAGTTTTTACCCTTGGCTGCATCTAATGAAATGCCACACTTTCATTTCTGAATTTTTGTTACAGGCTCACTGGTTTAATGTGATAAGGCCTCAGAGGTCAAGACTGAAGATCGGTAGCTATCATGGACCCATTAGTTCACTCAGATCCTGGCTAAATGCCCTGATGCCTTTCAGCTGTCATGCAAAAATGTTCCTTTGTCCATCCTTAGCCATTAGAGGAAAAGCAGGAATAGAATATTACAAACCCATTACAACTTTTGAGAAAATTTCCTGAAGTTCTCATGCTAATATTAAGTTAGTGGCATCATTTTTTACCAAATGGATGGCCATCCTTTTCCTATAATAATGTAATCCTTATCTAGCAATCTTAGCCAATGAATAGCAAAATATAGAAAAACAGCTGGAAAAAATGCATTATGGTTCTCATCATACTTATGATGGAAAAGAACTGAACTATTTCAGTTCTTTATGGAAAAGAACTGAACTATTTCCCTTTTGAAGCTGCATTAACTTGGTCAGACTAATGGGATGCTATTCAATGTGTTGAAAGAGGTAGATTATTGAGTAGACTCAAGTAGACTTTCCCCAACAGACTTAATGCACCTACAAAAAAAAAGGGAGCAATTTTCTCCCTTTTTATAAAGAGCAAAGCTCTTTTGAGAACTAATTTCTTCACTTCTAAAAAATGGAAGAAACACCAGCCATTAGCAATATTCTCAATATTCTCTTGATTATACCTGTGTGGATTTTATAATATATAGCAAGATGGACAAATACACTCTATTCTCATTTATATGCAAACATGTATGTGTACCTTTTTCAAGATATGTCTGTGTGTATGTGCATTTACAAATGTAGTAGGCAATTCTCATCATTCATGGAAGTTATTTCTACAAAGTTATGAATACCAGGTTAGTAAAAACTGAACAACTACACCTTGGTGTATATGTATGTATATACTTATATTTATACATATGTACATATGAATATATATATAAATATACATTTATATATACATTTGTATATATCATATATATCATTTCTTTTCTTTCTGTTTTGCTTTGTTTGGGGTTTTTAATTTGTTTTGTTTTGTTTATATGGAGTCTCACTATGTTGCCCAGGCTGATCTTGAACTCCTGGAATCAAGGGATCTCTTACCTCAATCTCCCAAGTGCTGAGACTATATGCATGTACCACCATCCTGATCTGAAACAAAGGAGTAGAGGAATTGCCTTGTTAAACTTCATCTGGGAATGTGAATACCCAGGAGACCCAAATTTTTCATAATTCACACATTTTGAATGATGGATGTCTTACTCCACTTATTGATGCTGTAACCAGAAGAGTCTAATGTATTGCCCATAGACTGTGTTATTTATAGACAACAGAAATATATTTGGTTTGTGGTTCTGGAGGTGGCTGGGAAGTCCAAGATCAAGGGCCTGCACCTAGCGAGGGCCTTCTTGCTGCATCATAATAGTGTGGAAGGCATTACATGGTGAGAGAGTGACAGACAGAGAAAAAGATAAAAGGAGGGAGAAAAGAGGAGAGCCGGGGGAGGGAGAGAGAGAAGGGGTTGGGGAGAGTAGGAAGGGAAAGAAAAAGAGAGGCTGAACTCACCCTTCATAAGGACGCCATGTGATTGTGAACCCACTAGAAGATAACAGTATTAATCCATTCATGGGGGCAGAATCCTCATGATCTAATCACCTCTTAAGTGCTCACCTCTGGACAATATTGTGCTGCAGTCTGACTGGGCACAATTCACGAGCCACTTATCAAGCAGGAACGAACTCATCAGGAATTCCCTCAGAGCCCAACTACCACGACCGGCTTCCCACAAGCCTCTCCCACAAGCCTCTCAACCCCCCACTCCTCCTGCTCTTGAGGCCGATTGTCTGGGTTGGGTGGGCAGAGCCAAAAAAGTCCCCCAATGAGCAGCTCCGTGGTCTGAAAGGGCAGGGAAACAGCCCAATGAGCATCACCGCAGAGGAGCCAATCAGCTGGCAGCTGGAAGTTTGCTGGGGCCCCTTTAGCTGTGGCTCTTAACAATATTGCAATGGGGATTACATTTCCAGCACTTGAACTGTGAGGGACACATTTAAACTGTAGTACTTGGCAAGCACTGAGAGTATTGATTTGGGGGTTACAATACAGAATTTGTGAATGGTGAAGATTGACTTTGTATAAACATTTTATAAACTCTCATACCTGAATTTGTAAACCATATGCTTTTATTCATACTGATATGTATGTATGCACACTCATAGTTTTATGTGTTTTAATTCTCCTGAGTGGCAGGAGAACCCACTCTAACAACCGATGATGATTCAGCTGGTGCAATAAAAGCTGAATAAGTAATGAGCCACATTTGGAAGGAACTGTTCAATTGGCACTCCAAGGCTTTTGAAACATCAGCAGCTATTTCCTTCATGGTTAAGCAAGTGATTAGTGGTTCAGCAACTTATTTCTTATGCAATTTATTTGGCTACCTAATGAATTTTTAGACTTACTTTACTATAAAGATATTTTATTGCTTATACTTTGCCTTGTAACTATTTTTACTCTATGATAACCATTATTAAAATTGTGTACCTTCTTTCGTGTCAACTTCTGAGAAGTAACAATCAACCAATTTGAATGCAATTGGTCGTTAACTTTTATGGTTTAGATATGAGGTGTCCACCAAAAGCTCATGCGTGAGGCAATGCAGGAATATTCAGAGGTAAAATGATTGGGTTATGAGAATCTTAACTTAATCAGTGCATTAATCCACTGATAGGGAATAACTGGGTGGTAATATAGACAGGTAGAGTGTGACTGGAGAAGGTGGGTTTCTGGGGGTGTTACTTCGGGGTTTATATTTTGTCCTTGTTGAGCAGAGCGCTCTCTCTCTCTCTCTCTCTCTCTCTCTCTCTCTCTCTCTCTCTCTCTCTCTCTCTCTCTCTCCTTCCTGGTACCATGTTCTGAGCCACTTTCCTCTGACACACTCTTCTGCCATGATGTTCTGCCTCACCTTGGGCCCCAAAGAATGGAGTCAGCCATCTATGAACTAAGACCTCTGAAACCGTGAGCCCCCAAATAAACTTTTCCTCCACTAATTGTTCTTGTCAGGTTTTTTGGTCACAGCAGTGAAAAAGTGACTAAAGCATTAGCCGTAGGCAGAAGTGGTATTATCTTTGAAGTGTGATGTAAAGTCACAACTAGACCCTGCCTTCTCCACAAGCTCTCTCCCTGAGCCCCTATAGTATGAAAAAGAGAGGTACAGATAGATCAGCAAACAAGGCAAGAGGAATAAGAAGGATTTTCCCCTCCTTCGTTCTTCCTGCCAACTCTTAATCATCACGTAAGACAATTAGAAAGTGTCAGCCTCCCGGAGGCCATCATGGCAGCTCTTGCCCAAAGCTCTTACCCCTTAGACTGGGTGTCTACAGTTCTCCTCACCACTAACCCTTATGTGGATCACATGGGTCCATGTCTCCTTATAGACCCTGAGCTTCTCCATAATGAAGACCCTGCCTTTTAGGGAAATGAGCCCAGTGCCTCTACCTCTGCTGTTTGAAAGTAAGTATTCTGTGTCCCTCCTCACTCCATTGCAGTGTCTTCATACCTGCATCCAGTGCAGTGTGTCCCAGTGTCATCTGGGGCTCTCCCACCTTAGGAAATCTGAATTAGATAGGCTCAACTCTAATTCCATGCCTTGGTTAAGACCAAAGCTCTCCCTCCTTTTCTACCCATTCTGGAGCATGGGGTGAAGGATGACGTTCTTATAGCCTCTATGTCTTGGTTCCTAGTCACACATCTGCAATTTCTTTCCCAAGTCACATCTGCCTGAGCTAAAAACTAATCTCCTGACATAGTTTCCAAAACAAGTCAGAAAAATACTATGTTCTCAAAACACCCCTGAGTACAGTTGACATTTCTGAGGACTTGGGCATCACAAGAAGGAATTCACATGACATGACACAGAGCAAATAAAACACAAACCAGCAATTTCTGTTTTTAAGAACTTTCAGAGCTTCCCTGTTTTCAGATGCCACCTTTGAACATAGTGTCCCAGGTTTTCCCTGTTCATACTCTCCTCTTCAGGAAAATAAAAAAATAAAGCCACGTCTTCCTCTCCTGACACACAAAAAGCAGCTAAGCATTCACGTGTGTTCCCTCAGCTACTGCCCACAGCGGTCTGGAGCCTGTGCCTGTCACCCAGCGGCCACATCAAGCTCTAGAGACTCAACAAAGACAGTAACTCTTATTGCCAGCAGCCAAGTCCCTCCATTTCCTATTAGTCCCATTATCCCTGTAATAGTTTACAAAGACTTGTCACATCAATTGTCTTGTTTAATCTTAACAGCCCTGTGAGGTAGTGAGGGCAAGTGTCACTATCAACCTCCACTTAGAAATGAAGGAGATGAGGCTCAAAAAAGATCAGATCTGGAAAATGTACCACTCACATCTTTATCTGTGGTTGCTTAGAGGATTGAATGGTATCCCCCAAATTTGTGTCCACCCAGAACCTCAGAATATGACCTTATTTGGAAACAGGGCCTTTGCATATGTAAGTAGTTGAGAAAATCTGGATGAAATCCTCTTGGACTTCAGGTGGACCCCAGATCTAATGATTGGCATCTTTGTGAGAGAAAAGGGGGAAAGATTTAGATACACAGAGACACAGGGGTGGGGGAGACCATGTGAAGACTGGTAGAATTTGGAGTGAGTCAACCATAGTCAGCGAATGCCTGGAAGAGTTGAGAAAAGATTCTCAAGCCTTTGAAGGAAATGTGGCCCTGCTGACATGCTGGTCTCTCTATCCTCCAGAATCATGATGGATTTTTCTTTATTTGTTGCTTCCTCCCTATGAGCATGGTGGCCACAGTTCAAGGATGTTCCATAAAACCACCCTCCATTAAGAATGGGACAGAGACCAGTTGTGACTTCTGCAGCTTTCAACAGAAATCACCTCTGCTTTCCCTGCTATAAAGAACGAGACAGTTCTGCTGCAACTTCTTTAAGACCAGGCATCTGTGTTATTTCATCTCCCAGGGAAATGGATGAGAGTGCCCACCCTGCTCAGGAACTCAAATGTCCAGAGGCATGATACTTTTGAGAAACTTGCACTGGCTAAGAAGGGAAAATTTCTTCAGATCTTCAGAATTCCTTTCATAGGACCACATGTGGAGTGACTATAACTTTGGAACTCTGAGAGTAGGAAAATACTCTGGGAGGGATCTTGTGTTGAAGGTAGAACTGCTATTCATGTGGAGGCAAACAGGCAGATTGGAGCTTAGTGTAGATGAAATGCAGAACACTGTTCAATTAAACTATTAATGTAAAGAAAAGTTTAATGTGTATAATTCTTGCTGCATGGCATGACAAACCTTAGAGTTCTGAAACGAGAAGGCATATGTTTCCTGAACCAGTGATTATAAAATTGACACACATCTCCATCTTAATTGCATTTTACACATTCTGTGCGTAACTGTCTATTACTTAAAGCACAAGATGAACATGATCTGAGAGGGATCACAGAATCCTTACCCAGTTGTTTTCTTTCTGAAGATTCTTAACCCAGCTCCCAGCATCCTGGATGCCTGGTTTTCTTTGTCACATATCTGATATTAAGAAGAAAATGTATCCCGTGGCCTGGACTTACTGATCACATACAGTGAGTTTCTCCCTTATTCATCCCAGCATGCATACATGGTTATATCCACCAGAGGAAATGGAAAATAGTTACTGAAGGGAATTTCATTTTCCCCCATCTAAATACAAAACATAAAAATACCAAATCTTAAGAAAGATAAATTAAAGAGTGGTCATATGCTTTGCAAATGAGTATTCTTTCCCACTTAACAGAAGAAATACGATCAGTCAACAAATTAGATGAAAAAATGTTCAACATCACTAGCAATTAGAGAAATGCAAATTAAAACTACACTGAGATTTCATCTCACTCCAGTGAGAATGGAAATTTTCAAGAATACAAGTAACAATAAATTTAATTTGATGTGGGGGAAAATGTGCACTAATGCATTGCTGGTGGGACTGCAAATGGGAGCAACCGCTCTGGAAAGCAGTATGGAGATTCCTCAGAAAACTTGGAATGAAACCAACATTTGATCCAGTTATCCCACTCCTCAGACTTAAAATCAGCATACTATCATGACACGGCCACATCAAAGTTCATAGAGGCTCAAATCACAATAGCTAAGCTATGGAACCAACCTAGGTGCCCTTCAACAGATGAATGGATAAAGAAAATGTGGTACATATACACAATTGAGTATTACTCAGCCATAAATAAAAATGAAATTATGGCATTTGCCAGTAAATAGATGGAACTGGAGACTATCATGCTAAGTGAAATAAGCCAATCCTCAAAAAACAAAGGCTGAATGTTCTCTCTGATATGCAAATACTGACTCACAATAAGTGGGGGGGGCAGTGAGGGGGTTCACCTGATTGGACAGGGTGGAGTGGGGGAATGGGAATGACAAAGTAGAATAAATAGGACATAACTTTCTTATGTTCATGTATGAATATACAACCAGTGTAACTCCACATCATGTACAACCACAAAAATAGGACGTTATACTCCATGTGTATGATATGTCAAAATACATTCTACTGTCATGTGTAACTAAAAAGAACAAAGAAAAAAAGAGTGGTCTTCTTGCCATGACTGAGATAGTAATTCCCATTCAAATCTCATAAGTTCAGGCTGAGTCCTCCACTTGAATGCCTTCACTTTGGGACACTAGCTGCAAATTTGGGATCCCTAGGGTTGCCTCACTTCTGATCAGCTGACTACAAATTCAGGAGTCCTCATGACGAACCCCCAACT